AAAATTAAAATCATTTCGATAATTAATCAAAATTAATTTAGTGATCTACTAATTAATCAAATTAATTCAATTCGATAGGTTAATTCGATTTTAATTAAATTATGAACACCTCTATAAATAAGTGATTAGAAAAATAATTAGGAAAGGGTATTATAATTAGCAATATAATCATATACCACTTATAAGACAATAAAAAATATATACTACTAAAATACTCGATAATCCAATTTTTTTAGAAAATTTTATAATTTTTTGTATTTGAGATTATTAAAATTTTAATTTGATTACTAAGATTAAGTGACCAATAATCTATAAACGAATAAAATAGCTGTTGACAAAAAATCTCGTATTCTTTGTTGTATTTTACAAAAATCTTACTTTATGATTTTTACCCAAATTCGTTCTTAACTTGACAGAAAGATATCTCATGATCTATGATCCTTAATGGCATAAATAGTTGGCATCTTTCTCATTTGTGACAGATGACACGACTTTTAACATAACGAAATTGTTACCTAACTATAATGATCTATGTTTTGAACGGTAAAATTTCCTACTCGATCAATTTTACTACATCAAAAAAGCTACATACATCAGCGTTGTATAGAAGATATGAATTGGTCGACGATAATTAAGATCACACGATACTGATAACCGTTTTTAGTGAACATTGCGAGTTTTGGATATAAATCAAAGAATAGTGATTTATTTAATATAATAAAGAATAAGAATTAATTTCAGAAAAAAAGACAATGTTATATGCAATGATTTTATATGTTTATTTCACACACTTATTAGACTTAAGTGAAAAGTATTAAAATTTTTATAAGCTGTAATAAAATTTTGAAAATGTTTATATTATGGTAGTGAATAAAATGAGTATATATGGGGTTTTCATTAAAAAATTTAAAATTAAGAACTCATTAAGCATTTTAGCCAAAAATATCCAAATTAATTCTCATTGCGTTAAAATTTCTATTTTTATTAAAAAAAGGATTAACTTAACTTTTTAAATTAAGAAATATTATAGTGAAATAAATAATACTTAGGTCAAATTATGCAATAGATATATGTGCTCTAATTAAATGGTGGAATCAATCATTTTATCTGAATATGCTTAAATTGGATCCTTATATTACATTTAATTATTGAATTTAGTCAAATTGTTAATGGTTCAAATATTTTTTTGTTAAAATTTATGACATTGCATTTTGATTTTTTTTATATAGCAATCTTATGTGTAAGGTCTACATGGTCAAAAATAATGACGTGGCAAAAATTTTTGACATGTCATCATTTTGTTCACACCAACTTTTCTCAAATTGTATGGGTTATCCATGTACTTTTGTTAAATGACGAAATTAGGCTTTCTACCATAATATGTGTTCAAATTTGATCTTTATATATCAATTAATTATCGAATTTAAAATTTGACTTGAAATAAGTAAAAGAAAACTAAAATAAAAGACAAAAAAACTTATCAATACAAATAAGTCAAGTTATAAACAGAGTCAATATATGAGTTAACACGTGATTGCAACAAATCTATCTTCTAAAACGACATCATTTCAATCTATTATAAAAAACAAAAAAATCATTTTTTTAAATTTCTTTTTTCTCCCCTCTTATCCTTATTTTCCTCTTACTTTTTTTATAAGTCTCATTCAACAAACCTATATTTCAATAGGATTTTTAGTAACCAATTATTGAAAAATTTAATGATCATAAACAAAATTTATCTAAAAAATCCAAAAACCATTATTACTCAAAAATCGATTGCTGTTTAATTCTTAAAATTTTTTCAAATCAATCTTTCCAAAAATATTTTCATACTTTTCTTTCTTTTTCAATTTTCAATTTCCTTTTTTTTTTTTTTGCTTTTTTTAACTTTGACTTTTTGACTATCACTAACTAAACAATAAAAATAAATAAATAATAACAAATAAAATACTTTTGGACTTTTAAATTTGGGCTTAAAATCTAATTTTACAATTAAACTCAATTGATCCAAAAATGATTTTAGAACCCAATATCGAGGTGAAATTCGGAACCAATTTAATATCAAAAAATTTTTTGAAAAAAAATAGAATGGCTTGAATTGCTTTTATTGTTAATTGTGTATCTAAGTTCGTTGATTATAGGTTTCTTGATCTAACTTTTAAATTTATGTCATTTTTAAAGTTTTTTTATTTTTTATCTATTTTTTATTTTTATATTTAAAAAACATTAAAAATAAAAATTAACAAAAAATGAAAAAATCAAAATAAATAAATAAAAGATAAAAGAAAAGATATAATTTAGTTTATGTTAGGTTTATAATATAATTTGAAATTAACCCAATTTGTCAAATTAAATCCAATTAATAATTCAAATATCCAAAAAAAATTATCTAAATATAAAAAAAAATGCCACGGCCGAATTAATAATTTATGTTTTGTATGTTAATTTAGATCAAATTTTAACTTCGATAATTAATTAATATATAAGGATCAAATTTAAATACACACTAAGGTCCTTAGAATGATTAATTTCACTATTTAATCAAAGTATATAAATAAGTTATATAATTTAAAAAAAATTGACATAAAATTTGATGACATATTAAAAAATTTAATCACATCATCATTTTTTTCATGTGAACTTTGTACGCTAACAAAGTCACCAACCACATAAATAAAAATGTCACGTCAAAAAATCAAATGTTAAATTATTAATTTTAACGAAAAAAAAAATTGAACAATTAATAATTTGATTAAATTTGATAATTAAATAAGTATAAAGATATAATTTAAATATATTAAGATAAAGGAATTAATTCTATCATTTAACTAAAATACAAATATCTGTTGTATAATTTGACCGTATACTCACATGCACTTCAAATTAGACTTCGATAAAATTTTTAGTATATAATTTCTTTTTTCCCCAAAACAACAAGACAATAAATGGCGTATTCAATGGCCAATGACGTGAAAATTGGTATGCAGCATGTGGATTTGGCGGAACCATAAAGCAAGAGTTTGATCTGTCCAAACTATATTAGTTATTCACGCAATTAAGCCTATAAATAGTAACATGCACCGACGGGATGATATTTCCAGTCAAGAAAAGAAAGATTGGTTGATGAAATGATTGTTTCATGGAAATCTGGTTCACTTCTGCGTTTAGCATGTCCTATTGGACCTTGCATTCACTCTGTTGTTGTTGTTGGTAACACGCCAAGTAATGGGATACATAATTTACATTTTTGAAAGAGATTAATTCGTAAAAGACTAAACAGAATAAAAAATTCCCACGTTTGCACTTCCACCTACATTATTTTACTTTAGGGTAAAAGAGATTATCATGTCCGGACTGTAAGGTACTTTTGGGTGACCTTCGTTAGTCCTTTTTTTTTTAATTTTTTTTTTTTTATTTTACTTCCTTCAATCTTGTTTATGACTACAAAAACCCATTTTACCATTTGATCAAATAAATTTATCTTGGGGAAAATTCAATCATCTATAATAAAAATTTTATTTAAAATTTATAAATTTGTCACCATCTTATTCCAAATCAAACTCTTTTATTACTAACATTTATTACTCATATATTTAAGTTCTGAATTTATTGTGATTTTATATTTAATTTAGACATCTTTATCTATAATCAATTGATTTTAAATTAAATATTTAACATGATATAAAAATTCATATTATGTTTTTTTTTGTGCTTGTTACTCGTGCATATTACCCCTTTCAATTGTATTATGTAATAAGTTTTCGTTTTTGTTTACATATGATAAAGCTTATTAAAATAATATTATATCACATTTGTTAAGTTTTGAATTTCTTATAATGTTATATTTGAATTGAATCATTTCATCTATAACTAATTGATGTTAGATTATATGCTTAACAAATAACAATTAATAAAAAAAATTAAAACAAACAATTCATTTTAATCAACTTACATGCGATAAATTAAGAGATAAAGAATGAAACATATTTGAAGTTTTATTTAATAATACTTGTGCCATTTTAAGAGAGGCCGGGAATTTTGGATAGAAAAAATGGAATTTTTTTGGCTAATAGGTGCTTTTGCATTTTGTTTTTTGTTATTTATTTTAAATTACTTTTTTTTTTGTTTTTCACTTTTGATTGACAAATGTAAAAAGAAAAAAAATGACAACGGAGCAAATATCCATTATTTTTAAAATATTCATATCCGAGTTTATTTAATATTTATAATATTTGAATTCGTTTAAATATCAATTTAAATATAACATCATTATTTAAATTCGAATCCATTTAAATAAATACTATTTATTAAAATATCTGAATCTATTAAAATATCGATTTATTTAAATTTTTTATCAAAATATAAAATAAATAAGAATTTAATTTAAATTTTAAGTTCATTTTTAATTAATAATAAATAAAAGCAATTTTTTAAAATCTAAAATCTTCTACAAATATAAAATTTTATATATTTTATATATGCAAATAGGTAACGAATGAAAATACAATTTGAAATATACATTATTATTTATTAAAATTTAAATGAATTGGAATATTAAATATAAAAAAGATACTATCCTTATCTGCTCCAAATTTATTATGGATAATAATTTTTTATTCAAATTCATTAATTATTTATTTATTACTATCCAAATCTAATATAAACAAATCAAATAATGATAGATATCTATTTATTTACTATCTATTGTCATCCCTAAAAAAAAATAGTAAAAGAATCAATTAAACGGAACATTAAAATGAATAACTGCATGTTGGCATTTTTTTTTTCTTTCTTTTCCATTTTCATTTTTAATTTTTATTCATTAATTATCCGCAATTTTGGAAGCGTTAGAAGCGGCCCGGCCTAATTAAATTTGGATACATATGCGTTCAAAGGCTTCAAGCCCATAGGTTTTATCCATAATGTGGATCCATGGATCATCCGAATCCGATCCATACCAGTCAGGAAGAAAATGACGCTGTAAACCGGCACTGGAATGAAAAGAAGGAAATGTCGTTAAATTATACTGTGAAATGAAATCGGCTTTGGCGTTCGCTTTGAGAATTCGAAAAGACTGGGGGTTCTAGGATTTTACTCTTATTTTTCGTCTCCCAATTGAATTGTTAGGGTTTTAGATTTATAAATCCCTGAAAAGATTGGGGTTCTGTTCTTCTTGCTCCAGCTGCTGCTGCTGTTGTTGTATGGGTTCTAATTTCTAAGTAGTAATATGCTATTTCAGTCAGCATTTGAATCCAAAGAGGCTTATCGGAAGGCTATTGGATGCCCGAAAGGACGATGCGAAGATTAAAAGAAGCAAGGATTATTTGAAACGGTTGGAATCTTACATGAAGCTGTATGGCAGTATGGGGCACTGGTTCAGATATCTAATTGTTTTTATGGTACATAGTAGGCGCATAATCTTACATAGCATAAAAGATTGTAAGTATAGAAATTTGAATTATATGACTTACTGGATGTTATCATTAATTAACTTAACTAAGCTCCAAATTCAGTTATCTAATTGTTAATGAGTAACTAAGCTCCAACTTAGTAATAGATTTTGATGTTCATGTCCTTTCTACTTGTGGGGTCATGAGTCAAGGAACCAGCTAACCCAGAATTTCTATTATTAGCAGAAGGTTGCAGGTTGCCAAAATGTTCATGGTCCAAGGAAGGTTGGGCATGCCTTGCTAAGTTGAAAACGATACGAAATTTAAAATTGTCATTATTTAAAATTTTAGTAAAAATTATATGAGTTTGATAAAAACAAATATATATATATATGTATATTTGATATATTGATACAAATTATAATATAATAATTTTTGTGTTTTTCACTTATTTGATGGGAAATAGACATAAGCATACAAAGATTTTCAAATATATTGCCATATTCCTACATGCACTCTGTCAATATTTATACTGACGTGGCATTGAATACATTTCTGCAAGTAAGTTGATATCAATTTACTTTTTCATCGTAACAGCAATCACTGATAGTGGAACATGCATGAAAAAGTTGCTTTGGAATTAACTCTTCTTTGGCCATCCATATTTTAGAGAACCTAAATGGTGTCTGAAAGGGCCAAAATTCAGCATTCTAAACTATTAAACACTACTCCATCAGACCTTGCTTGCTTAGTGGAGATACATATTTCCGTTGGGTTAAGAATAGATCTATTATTTTACAGATGGCAGGCCTTGCTCTCTTCAGAGAACACAAATCTCAGTTCATGAAGGTGCTGAACATCATACCTGAGAACTTTCTCAGTGCCTTGAGAGCCCTAGAAGATCCACAGTTGACGCCTATTACGGCTGAGATTCAGTTTTACTTAGATGATAAGAAGTTCCTGCAAGTACCAGAAGGAAGGGCTTTGCAAAGTTCTCTGTCATCAAGTGTCATGGTGCCCGACTCAAGACTTGTATCATCAACCAAGCAGATATTACTACTAATTGATTGAGCTGAGAAATTTTTTGTTGTATGTCTTTCGTTAAGAGTTGGTTGAAACTGCCTTCCCAGAAAGAAACTTCCCGTGGTGGTTAGATGATGTTGAATTATTAATATTATTATTATACACAAATCTTGTGAAAGAAAAGGGTTAAGATAAAAAATTACATAATAATACAGGTTTTGCTGCTTTAAGTCTTGATCCAAGTTCCTGCGGTCATTCGGAAGAACCCTGTCCTTGATTCTAGTGTCCAACGTACCGATTTTGTTTCTAAATCCATATAAATATGCATTTCTATCTGGGAGAAAATGGTAGAAATTTAATTTTCAACTTTAGTGTCAGTACCATATTTTTGGCCCTTTTTTTCTCCTTAGAAAGTATACCATAAATATGATTGGAAAAAAATAGATGGATATTGTTGCCAGTCATCATTCTTCTTGCTCACATTTTGATTGTCAAGACAAGGACTTTTCACAGAGTTTTTATTCAGTTCACAAGCCCTAAATTATCCGTGATGTGAAGACACAAACCAAGAGGCCAAAAAAAAAAAATTATAAGGATCTCAGCCTATTCAACTACTGATTCGACAAAGGATTATGTTCATTAATCGCTTTGACGGGGTAAAATTCTCATCCTCTTCTAAGCCCCATTCCCAAAGTATTTGTTATCTGCAAAGCCTTCAATGTAGCAAGAGCCCTATTTTGGCCGTGTTCCCTTACTTCCCACTTTACAGCTTTAAATTGTTAAGTCATATAATGCCAAATATTTTAACATCCATCAAGCTAGCAGCACAGTCTAGCTGGTGATTGCAACTTCATTCCCACCCCAGAGCGATGCATCAGGTGAGATATAGCCCTCCCCTGTATATATTACGTCTGTTAGTATGTGATAAAGCTCATCAATAGGCTAACCCTTTATTGCTTTTGGAAATTGAATACTCAATTGAGCTGTTGCCATACCAAAAATGTGATTAGGAAGGCTGATCAATAAAGCCTGATTCGAGTCTGGATAGTGCTCCGACATATGGGGCAGAGTTGGAGGTCTTCTCCACAGTCGCAGCAAGTCTGTTAAATTGAAGAATAACAAAAAAAGAGGAAAGAGAACATATGATATCAGTACTCCTTACATGGATTATGACCTGAAAAGAGCAATGGAAAACAGAGAAGCTAATTAACCTGATGTCCGCAACCAAAGGCCATGTCCTTGGGATTACCAAGACAAATGGGGCAAACCTGTCAAGTTTGCAAGAGTAAAGGGGAAACAAAGGTTTATTACCTTACAATAAGTAGTATAAAATGATAATGCTAGTAACAACTATGTGATTTCAAAGGAATGGTCAGCATACCTGATGATCATAAAGTGAGCTTGAAGATGGGCCTGTGGCTGTGTCAGCTGCGGTATCATATCCAGAATAAGGAGGTTCATTTTGCTGAAAACTGCTAGAGCGGGAATAGGGAGACGGATTCTGCTGAAAACTGCTTGAGCGAGAATAGGGAGATGCATTCTTCTGAAAACTGCTTGAGCGAGAATAAGGCTTTGAGGTGTTGAAAGAAGAGGCACCATAAATGGGAGGAGGAAGAGGAACTCTCTCTGAAGTATTTCCCTTCCTTCTTCTTTATTAATTAAAGAAAACAAGTAGAAATTAATCATACATAACTAGCAGTTAAAGAAATGAACACGCAACAGCACTCGATAACAAATTCAATAACTACCCCAATAATCCAAGCTCAATTGTTGCTTTATATTGAGAAGGTATTTCCATCAAAGCTGAAAGAGCAAATTCTGCCTGCATTCTGGATGAATCCATATTCTTTGACATAATCTCTGTGGAGTTCACAAACTAGCAAGATAAAAGTGCTTTTAACCAGTAAGAACATTCAAAAACAGTAGAAAATTACAGTTTTCAACAATTACAAGAGACTGGAAAATTTGTTCACCTGAAAATTGTCAAAGGCACGAGCAGGGATGTTATCATCAAACTCCCTCATCATGTCCCAAGGTCCGTCACCAACCCCAACTAGGACAATTGACAAGGGGAATTCACTGCAACCGAATGGCCATGTGAGGATATATGGTGCTATGCAATCTAAAACAAGTAGCAAGTTAATGACAATTACCTTGCTTTTACAATTGCATCAATTGTCCTTTGCTCTTGGGGGCTAAGCTGACCATTCTGTGTATCAACACTTCTAGTCACCTACAACATACATGAGACAAAAGTGTTGGAAAACTGAGATCTAGACTCCTCCCATATGTGCAGAATCAGCTGTAATATAGATGATTCATCATAAGAGTAAAATCAAAGTTCTATCTTTTATAGACACTTCTTATTCCAATCAATATCAGAATAAGTATACTCTATCCAGCTTCAGAGAGAATGAGAGATAGAGACCCTATATCAAATGGATGTTTCTTTTAGTTTTTTTTTTTTTTTTTTTTTTTTCTGTAAATTGCCTGAAGTGAGTTACCTTATCAAGACTGGCAGTAGAAGCAGCTTTCAATTGCATATGTGGATATTACATGGATCATTTTTCACCATTTTTATCCTATTGAATGTTTAGATAGTACCCAAGTTAAATATCAGTTTTCGTTTTCTTTGCTAGTATCATGTCTTAGACAACGGAAATCTAGCCGTCTATTTCCAGACTTGATGTGGTTGTAAAAATATACAAGCCATTCCTTCTGATGTTGACTAACATCTGTACTTTCAAAGTATACATATCAAGAAAGTATTGTCAATAAAATATTTCCTGACTTAATATTGAGTCATAAAAATTATTAGTACTTTTCTTCTATATGCTATAAAAACTGAAATAATCTCTAGAAGTTCAGACTTCAGTGAATGTTGTGAAATACCTGTCCATCAGCAATTATCAGCAAAACATGGTATTGACCACCACTTTGCTCGACGATAGTCATGGCCATTTCAATGATGGGCGCAAACGATGTTGGTCCTGCCATAAGCAAATAAAGCAGTTGCGGTCAGAACCAACTGCTTCAACTTCAAGACGTGTATAACTAGAATTAACCAATGGATCAAATAAAATCAGGCACCTGCAAGTCGAAGTTGGGGAACAATTTCTCTATATTGTGCAAGCACCTCCTCAAATCCATTGCAAAATCTCTCATCCGGATAGAAACTGAAGACATCTTGATCATGTGTTGATGCTGAAGATATATGAAGTGAATATCACCTTACAATCAAATTAATGTAGAATAGTATGAAAACACTTTCAATGAACTTTACCATCTCCAAATCCATAACAGGGAATTAAGTTATCCTCATCAAAAGCAGATAAGCTCTGTCCAATAATTGATATAGCTTGTTCATAGGGATTTTGACCATTCCCAATGTGATGCAAGCTTCGGCGGTTGAATGACCTGGCACCTGGTTTTCCATGGAAGTTGAGTATGGTGTATTGCAGGTCATTTGAAAAAGTTATAGGCGTCGGGTGGAATTAATAAGTAATACCTGTCCATTCATTGCTCTTTGTGAAATCAATACCAACGATAAGGTTAGAGGACTCAAGGCCAGCTTGTGCAAGGGCAGCAGTAACCTGTGATTAGCAATTTTGTTACTGAACATGCCATAAACTTTATAATTTTTTGAAGCATGAACTGTTCTCCATAGATAAATAAATATTACATGACAGGCGAATTTTAAGGCAATAACTGAATGATTGAAGCAACCACATACGGGCAGAAGAATAATTAGGGAATTTGGCAAAAAGCAACTTAAACAACTGCCATATTTGTCAAAAAGCAGACAGACAATACACTGTTGTTGTCAATTAATTTAATCCTCCAAAATGAAAACCATAGCTGATCCTTTTCCAGTTCTTATCAGGCACTCCAATTGAATTTTAGCAGTTCATCCAGATACCCTTTTTTCATTCATACATAATCTATCTAGAGTCTAGACTGAAACGCTCAAATTACTTCCAATTGCAATATAGCTGACAGCAAAAGTAGAGAGGAACGATCTGTTTTCCTATCCAAATAGTTCAAAAACAACAATTTTCCACAAGTCTATGTTAGTTTTATGTGTTTGACAGCCATGTTACGTTAGATGACAAAACAGAACAGAATTGCAGCAAACGTTCATGTTTATCATTTTCATTTTAGACAAATATTCCTATTTATCATACACCCTTTTCATATTAACCAAAATCAAAATAGAACAGATAAAAACTCAAAAGAATTGCAGCAACAACAAGCTAACCTGGTCCAAAGTTTGGTAGTTATCAGCTATCCTTGAGTATTTCCTCTCCATACTCTTACGAGCATGCTGCGGCGGTTGTGATCCATAATTATAGGAGGGAGGTGGAACATAATGATGTTGTTGCGTATGATAAGAATTTTCTTGACTCCATGCATCTGAACCACCTGACCTGCTTGTTGGGTACCTTCTTCCACTAGAATCCTTCGAGCTTTTGCTTCCCATAACCAAAATAATAATCTAACAAATTAACCTACTCCAAGAGTTCACTGACAGAAAAACTGATCTCTTCCTGCAAACCAAACAAAGTCCATCATTAATATCATTGCCAGCTAGTCATTTTTATAGGAAAAGATGGCTGCTAATTGATTGAATATGCTCAAAATCTTGCTCCCTAATATACCTGATCCAGATAAACGAAATTTCCATGGAAAATTACTGATATAAAAAAAAAGACTTTGACAAATTGCAGAAAGGCTGCTGGTAGTGACCAGTTCAAAGGTACCGACCATTGGAAAGTTTTTTGCAAATGGTTAATTAAAAAAAATCCTATACAAGTAGAGATTCGATAATTAGACGCTCCAAGAAAAGACAAAAAGGAGAAGAAATTATAAGTGGGTTTTTCAGAGATGAACACGCAAGAAAAGACTATAGATAAGTATTTTATATTCAAAAAATGAAAGAAATTTTTAACCCAAATGTCATCAAAGATAAAGAAAGAAAGTGATATATATGATCATTCATATACGTAACCTCAGCAGCAAGAAAACCCCACAATTACAATTTAACAAAGGAGTCAACTGCAATTCCTTTGGTCACTTTTCCGTTTCAATCGATGCATTCATCAATTATTACTAGTATATTTATCTATACGCAAAGCATATTCTACCAGAATGGCTACAATTCTAAGGCATCAAAGCGAATTTAACATTGCACAACGACCCTTGGATTCTGGTTCCTTGTCTTCATTGAGAAGTAAAAAGTTATTTGGAAAAAAAAAAAAAAAGAAAGATGAATAAACAATGATCAAACGTTTTACCTGTAGTTCTAGTACTGGTGAAAGAAAAAGTGGAATATATATATATATATATATATATTTTCCACAACCCAGAAAATCGCAAGACACTTCATATAATCGATATGAAAGATACAATAATGCTACAAGAAACAGAAACAAATGGTTGAGCTGACAGTTTATGAGAAGAATTCCCTTTCATTATCAATGAAATTGTTGGCTTGGATGGGGGTGAAATTGAAAGGTCAGCAAGTTTGGTGGGGGGAGGGTGCGGCAGCACATGGGACTACAACTATAAACGTGTCTTTTCCAAGTGCATTTGCGACGAAAGTTCCAATGCAGTTGATGACTTTTGAGTTAGAGTCAATGGTTTTTTTGGAATCCCGTCCATCGATTTATTACCTCAAAGATGTTGGTCTAGATTAAGGTTTGCGATGGTAACTTAAGATACAAAGGTTTGTCGCCACGTTGTTGGAAAGCGACATGTTTTCACCACTGAAAAAACACAGCTTAAAACACAAACATCTTCATCGATCATAAAACCGACTGCTCTCACTGCCACAAAATTTTGAAGGGACAGAAAACAAAGAACATGACTGAAACAAAACATATACTTTCAATTAATAAACATACCTTCAGCTACAGACGAGAAATTATATTCATCAATTTGATAATGGAGTCTTGAGATGGTACAGATCTTTAATCTCCTTTTTATAAAGAGTTACCCAGTCAAATTAAAGATTTCAATTCTTTTACAAACTCCATGGCTTCAGATATTTATGACAAGTACGTATCTTTTTTTATTTTTATCTAATTTTGATTTTATTTTAAATTGAATGTTTTATTATTTTTAATTATAATATTATCTTATATCTAATAAATATTTAATTTTTTATAATATTATATTCAAATTAAACTCCTATATTTATGATCAATTGATATTAGATTGAATGTTTGATATGATATCAAAATCAAAAAATTTTTTATTAGCATTTTCAAATTTATCATGTAATAACTTTCTTTTATCTCCAAGAGCTATATGTAATTAGAGCTATTAATGTGATATTATCTCAAATTTAATAAATATTTAATTTATTTTAAATTTATATTTAAATTAAATTTCTTGATTTACTCTCAATTAATTTTAGATTAGATACTTAACAAATTAAATTGATAATTATTTTTTATAATTTTATTTGTAGTTAAAATTTCAACAAATAAGTTTTGAAAAATTTTAAACTCAAAATTTTTAAATATACTTTTTTAAATTTTAATTTAACATAATTTCATAAAAACATGTAGTAATTAAGTTTAAAAATTTTCATGATTCAAAACAAATTTAACATTCACAGGTTGAAATAGTAAATTTGAGCTCCAATCTAGGTCACCTAATTAATTTATAAATATTATTATTAAAATTTTAAATTTAATATTTTAATTTTTAAAATGTATTTTAAAAAATAAAATTAAAATTTACATTTATTAATAAAATAATAAGCGAATTCGGAATACCAAACCAGGTTTGAAAAATTTTATAACATTGTCAAATCAACATCATTATTTGCGTTCAAGAAGTCTTAAACAATTTTGTCAATATACCAAAATTTTCTAATAAAAAATTAATTAATTAATCTCCATTCATTTCAAACACATATTTATTCTTACTTGTACCAAACTCTGTCCAATTTCTTTCAAAAAAAAGATGGATTATTTTTTTTTTTTTTTGGAGAATAGTTTGGTTCATTGTATCATTCTTCTGGACAAAACCGCAGTTAATTTTCGTTGTTGACAATAGGTTAATTAGGAAAATTAATTTTCCAATTTTATTTGTTCAAATGAAATCTTCATCAACAATAACTTAACCTTATGATCATACATATAGTTTATGATTATTGGATTTTTAGATGGAATTAACTGATTTTGAGTCACTCAAAATTTCCATTTACCTAGAAAACCCATGGAGCCGCAATAGAGGTGAGTATAACACGGTAACACGGACTTAACACTGTGACAACGAGTGAATGTTTTATGAGAAGTGTAATCATCTGTGTGGGAAGTTTAGTCAAATCAAATATATCATCTCCTTTTGATCCGCACTAGCAAATCATGTTCTTCGTCAATAAAAAAAAAATTAATTAATTATTGAATTAAATTCTCCATACAAATCATAAATTTAGTTTTGTTTATAATTTATTAATAAGACATTTAACTTTTAATTTGACCAATCAAATTTTAATTTTTGATAATTTAAAATATTAAAAAAATGGACATAAATTTGTTGACTATATTTAAGTTATGTCAAGCGAGTGGGTTGATTTGGGTGTGGTAGGTAAAGAATTAGTAAGGTTTTGAATTGGATGTTAGTGTTTTCACTTCAATTAACAAATGTTCAGCCAATGAAAATGGATCTTAATTAGCTAACTCTTTATAAAATTGTGTCATGTTTCTATCTCTAATTTAATTAGTTGGTATTACTAGTTTGTTAAAAAATTAATTTATATATAGTAGATGGTTTGGAATTTTATGTTTTCTCTTATTGGCACGCAGAAGTTATTCAAATGCAGTAATTATGTAAGTAAAGTATACAGATTTAAATTAATTTAGGTTATTTTTATTTGTGGTGAATCATGGCCTAATTTATCTAAGATTTCATTCAAAATTTCGATCAAAAACTCCCATCCTCTTACAAAAATATGTTTGATGATTGGATCCCTCTAAAATTTTTATTGAATAAATATATAAAAATGAGACTAATTAAAATATTCAAGTATTATTTTTGTTTTTTTATTTTCATCTTTTTTTAATTAAACCAATTTTATAAACAATATACGATGAATAAAAATAATAAAACAAAAAAACTTTACCCTTGACATTGCACAAATATTTTTCTAATAATAATAAATTTTGAAAAAGTCCAAACTCCTTGCTAATTTTCTTGATTTGGTCATTTATTCAAAAGGAGGAAAGTATTCAACTGAAGATTAATTTATTCTTTTCATAAATCTTTGTAATTCTTTCGAAATTTTTTTAGAAATTTTTGGATATTCAATTATTTATAGTCTATAATTTGTTAAATCTTGACATGTTCATAGTCAATGATATACTGCAATCATGACCAATGTTGATCACTTTCACTCATAATATCAATGATGTTATTCATTGCTTTTGCAATTTTAATTAAATTCGAGTATATTATAAGATTTTGAAGCCAATGAAGAGAGAATATGCTCTTTAAATGTTTTTAATAAGAAGAAAAGATGCAGTCAAATATATTATTTATAATTATTATATTATTATTAGTTTATTATAATATAAAGTTATATATAAATATTACATAAAAATTACCTTTATAAGTGATTTATTATAAAATTATAATAAAAATTACAAATTTCAAATTATCATGATTTTAGTAAATCATGCGTTCTATTTTTAGTAAAAGATTGAATTATCGTTTTGTATACTCTAAAAAATTAAATTTATACTAATTTTTGCTTATATAAAAGATGAAAAAAAATTAGAATGAAAATTTTATTAATTTAATAGTTAAAATTCTTAATTAAATTTTTATTTTGGAGTTTAACAAGTTTTTCATTTCACTCTTTTTTCATTTTTTTATCAAGTAAAGTCTTAGATTTTATTCGATAGAGAGGTTGAAAAAGAGTAAAGATTAAAAACTTATTAATCTATTGATTGAACTTAAAAATAAAAAAAATAATTATAAATTTTTTATTCTTATCTCTTTTCATGTACCAAACAAAATCGCATATATAGATAATTTAGAATATGCTAAAAAATGTCTTCTACTTTTTATGATTATGCATGTGTATATGTCCACTGAATCCAACTATAAAGTAGGTCACATATCAACATCAGAATCGGAGTTGGTTGGTGATATGTCCAGTTGATTGCTTGTGACTGCCAAAATTTTAATTTTTTTGCTAGAAAGTGGCTGCTAGTTATTTAAACAAATTAAAGCTTGTATCACCACACTTCTTTGAAAATATTCTTTTGTTTTTTGAAGGAAGTATTTCATGTTATTTTAATAAAGAAATCTTCTAGGCACAAATTTTAGAGATATCTTGTTGGGTTTGTCACATAAAAGAGTGAGTATGGGACGATTTCACATCTATTTGACTTTAATAATTGTCAGTTAAATAAATTGATTTAATCAATTAATGTTATCAAATTTTAAATTTTAGAACCATCAGGTTCAGTTAAAACATTCACCCCGTCAATGTTTTGTTCAACCGTAAAGTTCAGGCCATATTGGGTCAGGTTGCAGCAATTTAACCCATCAAATGTTTCATTTAGCCATAAAGTTCAGGCCTTGTTTCTATCAATGAAGAAATAAATAAATAAAGTTCAGGCCTTGTTTAGCCCAAAAGCAACGATTTTTTTTTTTTGGTACCTTGAGTTCCCACATAACAAAACTTTCGCATTCCCAAGCCTATTTTTTGTACAATGGAAATCTCATCTCAAAAATGGAAAATTTTAGGAATGTCAGGTGTTCCACTTCCATCTCTTTTGTTTTTTTTTTTTTGTTCCTCTATTTCTAAAGAACAATTGTTAATTTGGAATGGTAGATGAACCGCAAGACTTTTTGAGTATATATAGGATTGGAGGCACTGGTCATATGCTCTGAATGTGTCGCATTTTCATTGTGATGTTAAAAAGAAAACCTTATGAATCTTTTGTTATATTTCATGGATATCGTAATTCCTAATTTCATCAAGTTTTCTATCTTAAGCACAAACATTACCATAATATTAATGCGTGCTAGTATCAGTGGTTGAGACTGAAAAAGATTATTAGCCTATTACCAAGTACCATTTGGTAAGATATTAGGATAAACAGCAAATTAGGGTATATTTTTATTTCATTGAATTTGATAAATTTTGATGATTTTTGGATTAAAGCTAGTGGAAATGGATATTATATAAAGGCATCCAATAAAACAATACCCACCAAAATTGTCGAACTTGATAGACAGGAAATTAGCAAGTTTGAGTAAGATTTATGGATCAATCAGGCATTCTTACACAAAAGCATATCGAATTCGTGAGAAAGCCCCTATATAGATAAAAAGGATTTCCTAAGCGCCAGTTCATGCTACAATTAGGTTTTGCTTGTTAAAATGGATGAAAAATTAGCTAACTAATCCACTGGGATCTAGGTTAGGTAAATTGAGCAACTAAATTTTTCAAAATATTTATTTTCTTCTCCAAATGTTTATATGAAAAATTTTCCCAGACAAATGTAATAAGAAGATGTACATTACTCACATATAAGATCATATATAATTTTGGTATCACATGGAGCCAATATTACGAAACAAATAAACATATATAAATATATGATAAAATACTAATTTTAATAGAATAAATGTAATTATCCATTTTGAACAATCAAAAGTTTCATCAAAATTCACTTTTATATATAGATTATAAATTATAGTTAATCGCAAGTCATAAATGAATGTATCATACTAGCTCATTCTATTAATCATCACACTTCACCAATAGATTTTTTTTTTTTTTCAAATTTTCAACCTGGTATAAAATTAAAAGAAGTTACTTCATTCATTATAATGAATTTTTAGATTTCACAAGTGAAATTAATATAGTAATATATACTTCTTAGATATATTAAAGATATATTTACAAGTCATGACAAATAATATCATTTATTCTATCATTCAAACTTTTAAAAGGGAAAAAAGAAAGAAAAAATGGTGTACTGATTTTATAAATTTTCATATTTATATCGCGTAATTGATAGTTAGTAGAAGAAAAATTAGATTAAAATGTGTCACACTATATTCACTAACATGTGCGGCTCTCCTCCACCTTGTGATCATGAATTTGAGCCGCGTAATGTACGTGCAGAAATTACGGGTATCCGCGGTTCATTTCGTAGCCCATTAACTGGTGCGTGTTCATCAGTGTTCGTTATACACCTTGCAAGCAGTGAAAAATATTAGACGCTTCCCGAACAACAATTCAATATTTAATCACGCTGTTCCTAAACCGACCATATGATTAAATTTTTAAATGAATAATATTACTTCCCTCAAAATGGAACTCCAGATGGAAAATTAACTGCTATATCGAGTATCGTCACGATCAAATTGTATAGTCGCGTAGCATCTGCCAACCAGTAGACTATAAAACCCTTACCCAAGCTGAAGCAACAAAACGTCACTTCACGACAACAAATTCCAGTCTTTGTCTGCCTAACCCTTGCAGACTTCGTACTTTAATTGATTTACTTTCTCCTTTTTTATCTAATTAATTACAAAATCAAGCGTTCAGGTTTTTTTTTTTTTTTCTTCAAGGAGAAATTCAGTGTTCATTTTAGTGAGTTTTCCTTCCAAACTGAAGGTCAAATATTGACATTTATTTATGTCTCTAGTCAAGCATAGACTTCAACTTAGTCTCCAGCTTCCTGTTCCAGAAGTCAAGAATTCAGAGTTTATTCCCTTTATCCATCTCTCTAAGCCCAAAATCAACGCAAGTCAAGAAGTAGCTGACCTTCTTGACTTGGAAAAGCTCTGCGTTTTAGGCCATGGTAACCATGGCACCGTTTACAAGGTGCGCCACAGGCAAACTTCAGCAATCTATGCTCTGAAAATCATCCGTGGCGATCCTGACGATAGCCAGCAGCCTTATCAACCGTCTCATGAAATGAAAATCTTGCTTTCTATGGACTCTCCTTTCATCATCAAATGCCTTGGAACCTATGAATCAACGGCAGGTGAAAAAGCAATTGTCATGAAGTATATGGACGCAGGAGCACTTGATACACTTGTTAAAGCTAATGGCCCTTTCTCCGAATCCTCAATTGCCCACATTGGCTATCAAGTTCTTAATGGCCTGAATTACCTTCATGCATTCAATATTGTCCATTTGGATATTAAGCCTTCAAATCTGTTAGTTGATAAAAACATGAATGTGAAAATTGGTGACTTTGGTGTGAGCAAGATAATGCGAGAGAATGAAGCACCTGACTATTGGGATATCTATGTCGGTACCTACGCTTATATGAGTCCGGAAAGATTGGACTCGAATAGTTATGATTACAGGTATGTCTATGCGGCAGATATTTGGAGCTTGGGTGTGACTTTATTGGAGCTCTATGTGGGTCATTTCCCATTTCTCCCACCAGGAAAAAAGCCGAATTGGATGCAGCTCGTGCTGATAACGCGCTTTGGAGAACCTCTAAGCTTGCCAGAGGAGGCATCAGCGGAATTCAGGAGCTTTATCAGTTGTTGCTTGCAAAAGGAACCCAGCAAGAGATGGACAGCTTCACAACTTCTGTCACATCCTTACATTTGCACGAATAGGAGACTCGAGGACTAATAAACATTTATATAATGTCCCTTCTTTTACTTGAAATTAAACATTTATGTTCATCCCATCAGTCGGTAAAAATGGGAACCATCCTCTTCACCACTTGTTAGTAATGAAGTTTATTTTCACTAATAAATATATACTGCTAAGAATTTTAAGAAAAAGAAAAGAATGCTTTCCTTAATATTATGGCCAAGCAACAGAATTGTGAACTTCAAATGGTTGGCAATGGCAGCTGTCTAGTGTCTGTCTAGTGACATTTAGGCTTATTATTTTCTGCTAGGAAATAAGGAGAACATGGAAAACCTCAAGAACAAAAATTTGCAAAGCAGGATAATTTTCCAATGGGACAGATATATGCAATCCTTCTTTTATTTGTTCCACTTCTTGACAAAACAAAGAACAGAGAGAAGTGGACATTGACATCAGGGATCATTCCAAAAACTAAAATATACTAAATTTCGAGACTAAAAGCTCTTTCAAAAATGTGATGAAATGAATTTTTATCATGTTATGATATTATTTTATGATTGAATCTTTAAAAATTCAATCATAAAATATGACTGTGACTGTGACGCAATAAAAATTTTTCCATCGTTGGTTGCCAAAAGAGCGGAAAAAGAATTTTGGCTGAACAAACATGCTCAAAGCAATGGGGAAAATAGTCAGTGTCACTAGAAGTCGTGCAGGTATTTTCCACATTAATGGAAAAATTGACTCATGACTTGGCCTGACACTCGTGGTCTAAGAGGATTTGTCGAGGCCAGCCTCATAAGTATGAAAATTTTAAGCTTCTTAAAAAAAGTTATAGCACTATATTATTTACTCCATGATTTTATGAAATTGGTTCACTTAGTACTTTACTATTCTCTTCAATCACGAACAAACAAGAACAAATCATGCCTTTTATCTTATATCTCTGACTTTATTAGTTTATCACATTAATAATGAAATTAAATAAAATATATCAATTTACGAATTAGCATATAATTTGATAAAATCAAATAGAATTAGATCTAACATACATGATATAAGATATAAACTTAAGTGTTCAAGATTTAAAAGCATTCTCTTCAATACTAAGATAAAGAGTTTGTTGATATCTCTTGTTTTGTTCATCAATCTATTAAAGTTATGAAAATACGAATAAAAAAATTAAAATTTATTTGTGGGATTAAAATAATGAAATTTCTATTTTCCTCGAAATAATTTTAAAAATTAGACTGAACTTTGATGGTATTTATTTTTAGATTAAAAGACATAAAACATTATTTTAAATCCCCCCAATTTAAGAAACTAAGAAAAATTAAAGCCAAATTCCCAAAACATCTTCCACTTAACCAATCCGAGCCGTCAAAATAGAATACCAAGTGGAGGTTACTCAACACGTGGCATTTTCTAATGACCCAAGTATTGAAGCCCACCGCCGCACAATTCAGCAAAACATAATCTTTAAATTTCAATATTTTAATATATTGTTTTCTTCTTGGAGTGAGTTAATTTTCAATTTCGGCCAAAAAAAAAAAGGGTAATTTTCAAGGTGTTAGCTAAAACAAAATTATTTTTCAAGGGAAAAAAAAAAAAAAAAAGAACAGAAGAAACCTAGAGAGAGACTGGTTGGTAGTTAATCGTGCTGTTCGTTTTTCGGCGTTAGCGTTCATTTGAATTCCAAAACCTCTTCTCCTAAGCAAATTTATAATTAATTAGTCTTCACTTGTCCACTTCAATTTCCATCCTTTCCTCTTTTCTCACCTAGCTTGAATCGATTACTTCCGTTGTCTTCCTCCTCTGCTTCCAATTCTAGGGTTACGATCTTTAAAAAGAATGCGAGATTTTTTACCGATTAATTATAGCAAAATTTAATTCGTTTTAAAATGGCGAGTGCGAGCGATGAGGAAGCCGATGCGGTGCTCAGCGACGTGGAATCAGATGAGCCGGCACCCATAGTTATTAAAGAACCGTCTCCTGATGACGTGTCGGTCGAGAGATTCCGTGAAATTCTCGCGGAGCTCGATCGCGAGAAACAAGCACGAGAAGCGGCGGAGAATTCGAAATCGGAACTCCAAGTTTCATTTAATCGATTAAAAGTTCTGGCTCACGAGGCGATTAAGAAGCGAGACGAGTGCGCAAGACAACGGGACGAAGCCGTCCGTGAGAAAGAAGAAGCTTTGAGATCGAACGAGAACATATCGGCGCAATTAGCTGAAGCTAATAAGATCAAAGAGGAGGTTTCGAAACAGAGAGAAGATTTGGCGAACCAATTAGAGGAAGCAACGAAGGGAAAAGATGGATTGCGATCGGAGATCGAGACTTGTGCTCGTATGCTTGTTTCCAGTATCGAAAAAATATCTGGAAAAGTTAGTAATTTCAAGAATTTCGCTGCTGGAGGATTGCCGCGATCACAAAAGTACTCCGGATTGCCCTCCGTTGCTTATGGAGTAATCCAAAGAACAAACGAGATCGTTGAGGAGCTCGTTAAACAGACCGAAACCACTGCCAAGTCTAGAAATGAAGCAAGAGAGCAGATGGAGCAACGAAATTACGAGATTGCCATTGAAGTTTCTCAACTAGAAGCTACAATAAGTGGATTACGAGAAGAGGTTGCAAAAAAAGGTAATGTAATTGAAAATTTAGAGAAGAATGTAGCTGAAAAGGATGGGAAGATTACGGAGACCGAAAGAGAGATGTTGGAGAAAATTCGTTTGGCTGAGAATGAATCAATGGAGTTGAGGAACTTGGCTAGTGAATATGATGATAAATTGAAAGGTTTGGAGTCGAAGATGGAGTTACAGAGGCCGCTACTGGTTGATCAATTGAATTTCGTGTCGAGAATTCATGAACGTATTTATGATGTTATTAAGATTGTTGATGCTGATAACATGGATCAATTAGATGAATCGGAGTCCTTTTTTCTTCCACAAGAGACAGATTTGGAGGAAAATATACGTGCTTGTTTGGCAGGAATGGAATCTATCTACGAGTTAACAAAAATTCTTGTTGGTAAAACGAAGGATTTAGTGGAGGAGAAGAATCGTAAAGTGAAGAGTTTGAATGAAACAGTTGGTAGACTGGTTAAGGAGAAAGAACACATTGGCTCTTTGCTTAGGAGTGCATTGTCCAAGAGGATGATATCTGAAAATAAATCCAAAACCAATGAGTTGTTTCAAACCGCAGAGAATGGTTTGAGAGAGTTTGGAATTGACTTCAAATTTGGTAAACTAACTGGGGATGGAAATAAAGCTGAAGATCAGGACTCTGACCAGGATGAAATATACACTTTGGTTAGTTTTTTCTATTGGCGTTGATTTGTCGGAAGTGCTCTTTAAGCTTTGCATTAGTGTTTAAAGGCCATATTTTTCCTTGTTGAGATTCTTATATGCAATTTGGACAGGCTGGTGCATTGGAGAATATTGTCAAAACATCCCAGCTTGAGATAATTGAACTACAGCATTCTGTGGAGGAATTAAGGTACTTGTTTTTTTTTTTATTTTTATTTCAAACAATAAAATTGAACAAAGTCAATATTTATCATCCTGCTTTTGTATCGAATGATTCAAAGAATAAAGAGTTGGACAGATTAATTTGGGGTTCAGAGTTATCGTGCATGAACTGACCATATGCCATTCTTTTCTGCTCGCATTTTTTATGTATTAAGGGCAGAGTCGAGTGTACTTAAAGAAACTTTGGAGGCTCGAGCCAAGGAGCTCAACCACCGAATGCACCGTATAGAGGAGCTTGAAAAGAAGGAAAGAGCAGCAAATGAAAGTGTAAGTTAGCATTGTTAGTTACCATTTTTTTAGAGTGCAGTTTTCTAATTCTTAGGTTGATTATAAAGGTTAGAAGAGTGACTAAGTTGCATTCATACTTCTTTGCTATACATTTAATGCTGACTTAACCAATTCATGTGAAGGTTGAAGGACTTATGATGGACATTGCTGCTGCTGAGGAAGAAATTACAAGATGGAAATCAGCAGCGGAGCAGGAGGCTGCTGCGGGACGAGCTGTTGAACAAGAGTTCTTAGCAAAGGTATGTTTGCTATGTTGCTACAGGATTCTTTAATAGATATGTTATATATTTGGCTATGTGTTTAGTTATGGAAGGTGTTTTTTGCGGCAATTTTTAAGTAATAATCATTTTAAAGTTCTGCCAGAATGGTATTTATAATTTAGTGGTAGGATATGGGGGTTGTTTGAATCTTTATACTTAGCGGATAGACAAGAACAACAGCAATTAGTGCTAAAGAATAATAACTTGCATTGTAAAATGAGACTATAAACAAATTTCTGTTTCATGTTTGGTTGAAGTATAAATTTCCCATATTTCTCCGGGAGGGGGGGGAGGGTGTTTTATTCCATGTAAGGCTTGTACTCTTTTTTTTTTTTTTTCCTAATTACTGAATTTCCTGAACTTACATCTAATCATTATGGTTAATAAATATCTGCAGCTATCGGCAGTTAAGCAGGAGCTTGAAGAGGCAAAACAAGCCATGTTGGAATCAGAGAAGAAGCTAAAATTCAAAGAAGAGACTGCTGCTGCTGCCATGGCAGCAAGAGATGCAGCTGAGAAATCATTGAGGCTGGCAGATATGAGGGCATCTAGTCTGAGGGAAAGAGTAGAGGAGCTTAGCCGTCAGTTAGAAGAGTTTGAAACACGGGAAGACTTAAGGGGTCGAAATGGGTATAGGTATGTTTGTTGGCCATGGCAGTGGCTTGGGCTGGATTTTGTAGGGTTTCACAGACCGGAGATGCAACAACAGAGTTCAAATGAAATGGAGCTTTCTGAACCACTTGTTTGATTATACTTTTCTTTACTCTTGTTCTGTGTATTTATTGCAAACTTTCAAGCTTCAATATATAAGATTCAAGTCAGTTTTTAGCAACTTAATTCTTTAAAGCCCCTTCATTTGCAATGTTTTCCTATTGAATTGAATTTTTCTCCTTATGCTTCCATGGTGACCAATCTTATCTAACTCGTCTATTTTGCTTGGTTTCGCTTTCAATCACTTTTGTTCTTAGTGTCATTGTTGGATTTTCTCCTTTATCTTTTATTTTCTCCTTTATGTCACTCTCGTTCATTTCACAGCTTTATCATCGATGAAATGTCAGAGTGGAAAGAGAATTTTTTCTGTTCATTTCTAACCATTTAAACAGGAGTATACGAGCAACTAATTAACTCATGGCGAGTAAGAAGTGGAACGGAATTGTCTCTCTACAAGGACACAGCCTGAGTGAATTCTCAAAATCAAACAAAGAATTTTAGTTGATGTGTGTCGCTGAATGGAGTTCTTATATTCTCAAGGTACTTTCAACTGAAGTGAATGTTTCTTGTTAGTGTTTCTTATGTAGTGGTTACTAATTTATTTATAATTTGTCTTATGATGATAGCTCTTTGTCAAGATGATGAACTTCTACCATTTCTCATATACATGTATTTACTCTAAAGGAATTCTCCTTCTGTTGTTCTAGCTAGTTTTCCTCCAATGTTTGTTGGTAATGGAGTAAGTAGATCATTTTCAACATATACTCTTGTTTAATCCAAAAAAAAAAAATGGGCAAGGAATTGCCAATTGTAGCACAGTTCTATGTGCAGCTTTGTACTAGAGTGGGTTGGGCTGACAGTCGGGTTTTCTTTCAGTCATTTTGATATGATACAAAGAATGCTTCTAAAATAAAGAATTAGATCAGGGAGGTAAATAAGTTTTGAGTGTTGAGCGGGGTTAAATTATTGTATCGAATGGCTTATCATTCGATTGTTGAATGATTTATTGATCGGGCTTTGGCTTAACATGGAGGTCATAGTTTCAAATCATGTAATCCAATTGAGTCTTGAGAGGCTGGTGACGAATTCAAGTTCTCTAGAAAATCTTCTTCACGGTTTAACCCAGCTCATCGGATCTTTGTTCGATGATGACAAGCGCTTCAAATCGGCATTTGTTATTGGGGGAAAAGCTCATGTAATTCGTGGTTTTTTTTTTTTAAATACATCATTGATGATTAAATTGTAGTATGAGTTTTTAAAATATCAATTAATTATTAATTTTATCAATTTAGTCACTTAAATTTTAGTAAGTATTTTTTTATCATTGACATAATATATTGACATGACATATTGAAATGATAATATTAGTAAATATCATGTAATCAGTGATATATCATTGATTATATTAACGATCAAATGTCATGTGATAGTGTTACATCACTTATCATGTTAAATATTAATAATATTATGTAATCCGTGATAATATCAATGTGACATTAGATAATTGATGAATATTATCATATCAATATATCATTAAAAATTAATGCTTAAATAATTAAAAAATTATTTACTTCAATTTAAGTGGTTAAATTAAAAAATTAATAGTTAAATAATAATTTAAAAAACACACGAATAATTGGATACCTGATGGTGTTTTTTATTATTATTATTTATTTTAATTTTAAGTCAACGACAGAGTACATCACTTGTTGAAATCTTACATTTATTAATTAAGCAGATCTTTTAAAGTGAGTAATCTATCCTTCACTCCATATGATCTTCCAGTGATCGCCTATCAACTGGCACTAGGTGGAGGGCCGTTTTCTTGGAAACCGTAAGACTTGGACCAGCCGCCTCTTCCATGTCAATAACCAGCTTCCCCTTCATTCCAAGGGGTATTTTCCAATCAAAACAAAGCAAGAGATTTGCGAGTGCAAGCTCCACTATTCTTGTTGCCAAATTCATCCCGGGGCAGCTTCTTCGACCTCCACCAAATGGCAAAAACTGAAAATGTTGGCCTCTAAAATCAATGGAGCTGTCACTAAACCTTTCTGGGAAGAAATCTTCTGCGTTCTGCCAGTACCTTGGATCTCGACAGATTGCCCAAACATTAACTTGTATCAGTGTTTTGGGATGAATATCGTAACCGTTGATTCTAAAATAAGACATGGTTTCTCGAGGAAGTAACAGTGCGGCCGGAGGGTGCAATCTCAGAGTTTCTTTCACCACCATCTTGAGGTATTGAAGCTGATCAATCTCGTCTTCGGTAACTCTACCATTTTTACCTGCAAAAGTTCTGACTTCATCTTGTGTTTTCTTCATGACTCTCGGATTCCTAGCAAGCTCCGCCATTGCCCAGTTGACAGTGGCTGCATTTGTGTCTACTCCAGCTAAAAATAATCCTATGGTCAGCACACAACATACAAAAACTAGAAGCAAGTGAACAATGGTTTTCTTTTATGATAACAGGGGAATCAGATAAGTAACAAAATTACTTGTTCATATCTTTCTTCAGCGCTGATCATTCTCTAATACATGGGTCAATAATTCGAGGAAAAGTGTCATATTGTAATTAATTAATGGTTGAAATTTTAATAATTTTAAGGTGAGTATGAAAATTAATTAAAAGATTAACTTTAGATTTAGTTGAAATATGTATTAAATATCTTTGAATAAAGTAGTGAAAATATTCACTATTTTTTAATTAAAAGAGAGTAGACCTACTCAAGAATAAGATTATTCATCCAAGCCTAATTCTTTCGTTTTTAAGAGAATTTAGACAAAAATATTACACTTATTAAACAGATTGTAATAGGAAAATGAGATTTGTTTGAAAAATGGATCGAACTTTAATTCCAACATTCAAGGTTCAAATTCAACTCGTTCCATTTAAATTATATCTATTTTTTATATTTATATATATTATATAATTATATTAGTCAAAAAATAAATATATATAATATTATCCTATAAACATTAGAAAAACATGTTAGGTTATCCATGTTTTAAAAATTAATAAAAGAAAATGATAAAAATGCTCACGATTAAATAAAAATATCGTATTGTTATTTTTTAGAAAAATATATTATCGGAAAGGGCTTTTGGAATGTATCATTATAATCTAGATCTAGCACAATTTTAGCTCTGTCCATAAACACTTCTAATGAAGATGATCCTTTCCCAAATTAGGATAAACAAAAGTAATCAAATTAGGCTGTGATATTGTTCAATTTAATTAGATTCAGTTTGATGCTCTACTAAATATACCTAATATTTATTGAGAAATCATCAAATATATTATTAGTATATTTTTTAATTTTATAAACGAGATTAATAGAGTGACACATATCTTTTAAGTATATTTAAAAAAAATTAAAAAAATCAATTACAAAAGAAATAGAACATATGCTATTATATTAATCTCTGTTTGTGAAATTAAATATTTATTTATTTTTATTGAAATTACAAAAAATAATAACCGTAAAATTGCATTTTTATTTTTAAGTCTACCATACGATGAGTTTAGTCGAAAACTTTATGTTAATATATATATATATTATATATATATGTGTATATATATATATATATATATATAGATATATATAAAGAGTATTGTGGATTCACTTATATGTAAGTTTTACACTTTTTTTTTTTTTTTAAATCAAATAACTACAACAATAACAAAAAAATCTTATATCCTATAATTCTCATGTCGGTTATATGAAAGATTAAAATATATATATATGTATATATATATATATTAAATCATAATTTTAAATTTTTTTACGTCACTTATTTTTATAAAAAATAACCCAAATAAACTTAATTTTAATCTCTCATCATAGTTTGATTATATTTACATTGACCGTTATCCTATGCAACCTTTCTCACTTTATTCAGAGTTGGAACCGGTAATGTGGTAACATGCAAGCAAAGTTGGATCAAAATAACTAAAATTAAAATTATTTTAATCCAAATTAATCATGAATTTAATTTTGATTCAAAGGTCAAAAAAGAATGTAAAACTTGCATTAATATAAATGAATCTCTACTTATATACATATATATATATATATAGAAATATTGATTCATCCATCTACTTTTTTGAGATGATAATTAGTTTTTATTTTTATAGAAAGTTTATATTTGATATATTATTAATATATAAATTTTATACACAAATAGGATGATACTACTTTATTAATGAATAAATATATATAAAAATTAATATTATTTTAAAAAATTTATTCATTAATGAAATGATATTATCTTATTTATTTCATTAATAAAAATATATCATCTTAATCACTAATAAAATAAAAAATTTATATATGAGCAGTGCGTTAAATATAATTTTTTTATAAATTATTAGTTTCTCTATGTTGGCAGGGGGAAAGCCAGGCCTAAGACAAAGAAGGAGCCAATAATAATAAAATTAATGAAAAAGAGAGAGTCGATATTAATGTTAGATGATTGAATTACCATACTACAATGATGTAAAAGATTTTTAAGGTGCCATGAACATGCCTGCCCCCTTTGGATTAGCCTGTATATGTTGGTTAAGTTGCAAGTCGAAGATTTGATTATTTTTATAACCTTTATCTGTTTATGTAATTTCGTTAACCAATGCGAATTCAATTAAATACTCCTTTGGATAGAGCAAGATATAACCACGTAAGCAATGGTTGAGCGGCGCTTACCATGATGACAGCTTTAATGCCGTTTTTAGTGAGAGGAGCTTCACCGAATTCAATTCCATCCTTCTGTATTCTGAGTAACACTTCAACGATGTCTTCATGACCATCAGGTCTTGTCCGCCCAGGGTTGAGATGGTCATCAATTACTTGCTCGAAAAGACCATCCAATTTATGGAATATCCTCTCAATTCTTCCGTGAAGACCAGTAAGTCTGTCAACGATCCAACCCACATAAGGAAAGTATTCAGATGCAGAGAAACTTCCCAGAACACCCATGGCTTCTCGAACCATTTCTTCAAATCTGTCATTAATATTGTTGAAACCACTTTGTTGAAAAGTTTTACCAAAGGCCATCCTGACAATTATACTGGCCGTGAAAGAAAACAACTTTTCCGTGAGATTAACAGGACTGCTACTGCCAAAGGGTGATATTGAATGGATCAGTGAAACAACCTCTTCCTCGCGAATGAATCGATACGATTGAACCCTCTTCACACTAAAGAGTTCAACAACACATAGTTTCCTCAGCTGTCTCCAATAATCACCGTATGGTGAAAAAGATATGTCCAAATAATTGTAGGAGAGTCTTCCAAGGGCAACTAAGGAAGGTCTGGTGCAACAGTTAAGATCATGATTCTTTAACACCATTCTTGCAGCCTCAGCGGAAGAGATTACCACTGTTGGTAGACGACCGAGATGAAGAAGCATTACTGGACCGTATTTGCTGGAGAGATCTCGCAAGGAGCTATGAGGCAAAATACCAAGCTGGTGCAAATTGCCTAAAATTGGAAGCTTAGGAGGACTTGGTGGAACAAATTTTCTATCCTTTTTCAGGAGAAGCAGCAGAGGGAGAAGAACAAGAAGCAGAGCAAACCACATTGGTAATGTGTAAACAGTAGAGATGCTATGCGGTTTGCGTGCGTGCGCTGTTTACTGCCGTGGAGTTCCAACTTTTGCCTTTTGTTACTATCCTAGAGGTTGTTCGGTTTGGACAATCTTTGTGGCTACAATTCAATCCCTTCATGATTCTTACCCTTTTCACAATTCGGAATTGACTATAATAAATATTGCTTTAAGGAAAACTCTAACCAACTGATGTCTCAGCGGTTGGAATGTCTAATTGAGCGTCACATCCTAGCAACAATTGAGGTGTATGATTGCGGCACGCTCAGCGAATTATTATTATTATTATTATTTTTCTAATACTAGTATCTATAAAAAGAGTTTCACAACCTTTACACATGACATTTTTTTTTTTATTTAGTGAGCTTTGAGACATGAGGGAATATATATAAACTTTTTACACATGACAACTATTATTTTTTTAGATTTAGTGGGCTTTGAGGTGTGAGAGAACGAGGGTTGTTTTATGGGTTGAATTTTTAAAGAGTTTGTTAGTGTATAAATTTTTTTCATATAATAGCTGTCTAAGTTTTTAAGCTTAATTGGTTTTTGGATGTGAAAAAACAAAACTTGCTTTTTACCATAAATTTTGTTTGAGGGAATCTGTTTTTATATATGAATTTGTTTCATACTTTTGTTTTATTTGATACATAAAATAAAATTGTAATGTTAGCTTTTAATCTCTCACTAAATTATAATTTCTTTTATATGTTTAATTTTTAATTTTTTATTTAATATATAAATGCAAATATAATGCATTTTAATATCTTTAATTCTGTTGCTATAATACACTTTAAAAAAATTACTGACCTCAGCCAATTTCAAGCAAAGTGGGATTACAACACTAGCCATATATTAAAACTATCACTGACAGTTTCTCTTTCGACAGCTACTTTTTTGTACTTTTTTGGCTTTTAGTGATATTGGATTTATTGGTTGATGGTTGGATTTATTGAATTTTAAATGGTTTAGTTTGTCAGTATTTTTTTGACAGAATTTCAACTGAAAACAAAAAGTGATGTGATATGGTTCTTTACCAGTAAATGGTTTTGCTTCCTTTTTTTTTTTTTTTTTGTTTTTTACTTTTTCCAGTTTTTTCTTTTTGTACTTTTCATTTCGGGTTTTTTCTTATTTTTTTAATTATTTTTTTGCCGCTGGCCCGCTTGTAGTTTTTTTTTTCCTTCTCTTGCATGCCTAATTTTGTAAATTTTGGAGGCAGGAGAGGGTGTTTACGTGCCATCTTTCCCTTATTTTTCATTTATTTTTTATTATTTATTTAATTTATTTTTAAATTTAAATTTATTAAAATTTTTAATTTTTTTATTAAATAAATTTTATAAAAAAATTCAATTGAGTTATGAATGATAAAAAATTTTATATCTAATTAATTTTGATTCACACCGTTTTAATATTGGTGTTTTTTTAAAAAAATTTCTAAATTAGGTTGAGATATTTTTTGAAAGTTAGGTCAATTCAAGGACAAATTTAAAGTGTTTCTTCCAACTTATGTATCCACATGACATTTCTCTTTTTTTTTTTTCATTTCTTTCTTTTTAAAGCTTTTGATTTTTCTTGGGTTTTCTTTATTTATTTATTTATTTATTTTTATTTTTATTAGATAAATTTTATAATAAAAATAAATTGAGATAGAGATGACAAAATAATTCATATCTAATTAGTTTTGATTCACACAGATTCAATTGACACATTTTTTAATTTGGGATACTTAGATTTTTTTTTTAAATTAAACTTTGATAAGAGCAAGATTTTAAGTAAAAATATTCATGGGTCAGGCCAAATTCATACTTGATATTAATAGTCTATATTCTTACTCAAGCTCGACTTGAACCAAAATTTTAAACCTCAAAATTTTTTCAAACTCGATCCAAATTAAAAAAAATAAATATCAAAGTCACTCATTAAATTTAATTTATATAATAAAAAATTAAAAAAGTGTGATTAAATTAAGTTTAATGGGATTATATTTAATTCACATATATATAAATTAAAATTTTAAATTATATATATAAATTAAAAATTAGAATTAAGTTTAATAAAAAATAATTTTTATTTTTAATTTTTATATATATGTAAATTAATTTGTATAGAGTTAAATATATTATTGACCCTTAAACTTTGTAATTCTTGTCATATTGGTACCTAAAGAATTTTGTTGTCATATTGCTATTTGAACTTTTAAATTATTATCACACCGATACCTTTGACTAAAGCCGTTAGTTAACTCTGCTAACATAGTATAAATATCATATAAGGTGCTGACACATGTCTAAAAATTTAATCAACGCCACATCATTAATGTCACGTTATATTTAAAAGAAAATTTGAGAAAAAATTTTAAAAAGTTCAAAAGATTTTCAAAGAATTTTCTTAAAAAATATTTAAAAAAATTTAAAAACATTCTAAAAATTTTAAAAACTTTTAAAAATTTTTTAAAATTTATAAAAATTCAAAATAATTCTAAAAACTTTTCAAAATTTGAAAAGATTTTTAAAATATTTGAAAATTTTTAAAGCTTTTAGAATTTTTAAAATTTTTTTATAATTTTATAATTTTTAATTTTTTGAATCTCCAAAAAAATTTTTGAAATTATTTTAGAATTGTTAGAATTTTTTAAAAATTGTTAGAATTTTTAAAAAAATTTTACATTTTTTATTTAAATTTTTTTGAATTTTGAAAAGTTAAAAAAAATTATTTTAGAATTTTTTAAAATTTTTTAGAATTTCTTATACTTTTTAGAATTTTTTTATATTTTTTAAACTTTTGAAAAATTTTTGAATTTTTATAATTTTTTTAAAAATTTTCTTTTAAAAATGACATGGGTATGATGTGACAATGATGATATAACACAAACTAAATTTTTTTTGACACATGTCAGTATCTTATTAGATGTTACATTATGTCAGCAAAGTTGACAACATCATTAATCAGTGGCACCAATGTGGTAACGATTTAAAAATTCAGGTACCAATGTGACAAAAAATTTTTAGATACGAGTTTGACCAAAATTATAAAGTTTAAGGGCTAAATACGTATTTAACATATTTATGTATAATTCACATTTATATAAATTTAATTCAAGTCAAGCTGGACTCGAGTCTTAAATTTTTTATCTAAGACCTGCATTAAAATTTAAACGGGCCTAAAAATTGTGCCCAAGTTCATTTAATATGATTTAGTTTTTTGTCCAAACCTTCTCAAAAGTTGGACGAACTTTTGAACTTAGATGAATAACTCGACCCTTAAACATGTCTAATTTTAGGTGTTAAACCTTAGCCATAGTTATTATTATTATTTGCCCAATGATGCAAGATAAAATTCAAGAAGAAAGCTTAACAATTCTTATTTTTATCGGTATTTTAAAAATTATTTTTATCTAATTATATTTATCATTTATATAAATTAATTATAGAACAATTATAAACATGATAAATTATGTTTGTGGACGCTGACATGGACAATCTATATTTTTGACAAATAAAATATTAATTTCAATTATCTATAAAATAATCTTATTCAATTAATTATTTTATTTATAAAATGTTTAAAAATTTAAACTTATTTAAATCTTTCAATCATTTTATTTGAATTTAACTTAGATAAAAAATTTTTAGAGCTCACTTATTTCAAATATATATGTACAACATTTAAAATTTAAATAACTTTCTTCATATTAAATCCCTAAATATTAGTAACTATCAAGAGCATTATACATATCTAACTGAAAGTATCAAATACATATTTCAAATATATATGATATTTGCAAAAAAATTGATTTCTCCTATATCATTGATTATATCTTTTTAAATTCAAAAACTTATCCATAAATGTTAATTGTTGTCATAACGTCTAGATCCGATGATCTATCGCTAGATATTGACTTGAAGGTGTTGCAACCAATCTTTTTTATCTAGGTGCGATTGGCTACCTAAGAAATCTATCATTTTAAGGAACACCTAAACTTTAGGGTCCCTAAAAGAATATGTTCGGGTCTATTAACCAGAACAAGGTTCGGGAGTTCGGTTACGTGTGAGGAAAGTTATGGCACCCTCACAACGCCCATCGAAAATATGGTATCAGCTTAATTCTATGTTATCCAATAAGTCTTAAAAATTTATCAAGTAATTAATTATTAAAAATTATTCTCAATTGACTCTAATATTTTTAGTAGAAAATTAAAAAAATTCTCTCACCTTAAGAATATGCAAGGAAACTACTGTTTTACTTACAGCGGCTCCATCGTCGGATTATTTAACATTAAAGAAAATACAAAAAAAATTAAAAAAAAGAAATAAAAATAATTCAACTTTAGATATAAATATTTTTCTCTTCAAAAATTCATTATTTTTGTACAAAAAAAATTGATACTTTCAATTTTTTTTTCAAAATATTTTTTAGAAACTTTAATTTCGACAAAAATTGATACTTTCAACTTTTCCTCAAAAAAACCTTTTTCTTTGAAAACTTATTTTTAAGAAAAATTGATACTCTCAACTTTTTCTCGAAAATATTTTTTAGAAAAAAACTTATTTTCAAGAAAAATTGATACTTTCAACTTTTCCTCAAAAATATTTAAAAAAAAAAAAACTGACTTTTAAGGAAAATTGATACTTTTAACTTTTCCTCAAAAATATTTTTTTTTGAAATTTCATTTAAAGAGAAAAAAATAAAAAATAAAATAAAGATAAAAATAAAATAAAATAAAATAAAAAATACTAAATAATTATAATCTAATCAATAAATAATAATAATAAAATATAAATATAAAAAAATAAAAATAAAAATAAAAATGAAAAAAAAAACCTGGGAACGGTTCGACTTAGCGGCTTGGCTTGGCTCTACTTCGCACTCGGGTCACATGCGGGTCACATGCAGGTTGATGCTCAGGTTAGGTCGGATCTTGACAAAATGCGCGGATCCTGTAGGTTTACTAACGTAAAAACGATGTCATTTTGGGAGGGTATATAAGGCTGAAGGTCAATTTTTTTCAGAATTCCCTTCTCCTCTTCTTTTTCTTCCTTTCTTTTCATTTCCCCTCTCTTTAAATAGATGAAGAACTCCGGTTGAATTTCATCGGATTCTGAAAAATGTCACCAGAATCTGAGTTTTTCGTTGGAAGTTCGTCGAAAAGTTGGTCGATTTTTGAAAATAGTTGTCGAAAATTGGGTAGCTGGCCAAAAAATTCAACCGAAATCTGGAAATTTTCAAAAATTTTCAAAAAAAAATTCGCCAAAATTTCTCTAAAAAATCTTGAAATTGCTTCTGACTTTTCTGAAGGGCTTTTTTTCTTTCTCTTTTCGCTC